AGGGCAGGTTAAACAGGAACCCTTTCCTCTGGGTACAGAAAGCTGGTCAGCCTTGAACGAAGACCAAGCCTGCAACCTGACATGATGCCGTAAAGTGCAGATATCGGAGGGGAGGATTTAGAAAAGAAAAAAAAAAAAAGATGAGCTACATAGGTTTGTTATCTCTAACAGATATGACACAACCTTTAATTAGTGGGGATCCCTGAAGCTCTGGGCCTGAGATATAATCAGCGGACCTTTAGCGAGAGCACAACCCTCCCCTCTCTGGGTACCCTCGGGGCAGGCTGATCGAGGCGTCCTCATGCCCCCTCTTCTACAGCGGGGTTGGCTGGCACTCTGGAGATGCCAGATAATGAGGAAGCCTGTCAGAGGGGCACTTCAAGGGTGCCCCTCCAAAGGCCTCACTGCTTCTTAACAAAATCTAGCAGCACCAAACACTACTGCTTTGTTTTCTTCAGAGTGCGTCTCCAGAGGTCTCGGCTGTGTGTCCAGCAGGGTGGAGTGCTCCCTCCTCGGACTCTACAGTCTCTTGTAAAACTGCACTGATCACATCAGTGGCTCAGATGGGCTAATTGCATATACTCTACACTGTGAGTAACGGAGAATACGGCTGCTTCGCATATTTTTACAAAGTTTGGATCGGTGTGTAATATTGCATAATCCCCCATCACGGCGTGTTTGTGTTGTTCAAACTCTGGTGGTCGTCCTGATGGGGGAGCTGTGTCCATAGTGAAGTAGAGAGTGCAGTGGTGAAAAGTACATTTATTCAACTACCGCACAAACTTCTGATAATTGCCGGTTTCTGCTTGTAGTCTGTTACATTCCAGCGAGAAATACTGTACTTTTCCCCCCTTTACATTTAAGTGACAGCTTCTAGTTAACTTAAACTGGGACATAACAACTGGGGATGATAGGATAGGATGGTGAGATCATATTTCTTTCTGAAAAGAAAAGAAAAAAAATAACATTTTACCTGAAATTAAAATATATATATATATCTAAGAAACAATTAAAAACACTGACAAGAAGTTATTACAAAGGACAAGAGCATCATTTTAAAGAGTCACATTTACCTCGTGGTAATGTTTCAGTGAAAGTGTGCCAAGTCCAATACTATTCTGAAGGTTGTTACTTTGCATATTACAGATTTTACATATAAAGTATATGATCGTTGTGTAAAATTTGATGCAGTCTTATACAATTGACAGCGTCTAGTTAATATTAGCTCCACCTCAAACAGCTACATCATTAAAATACTGATGTAATAGTTATATATAGTAATAATAACGTAATGCTTTATATAATGCGGCTCCCTGTTCTACATATTAAGTCCATTTAGATACGTTACTGATGAAACTTGTGCTTTAGTGAATTATTCCACACTTATTGGTACCGTTAAGTAAAGTAAGTGAAGGATCCGAACACTTCTTCCTCCACTGTTAGAGTGATGGGAGTTAAGGGAAATAAACAGTCATCTCTTATGATGATTAGTGCGAGTGTGCTCTATTGATCAGTGGTCATACGATAAGCAGTGGAGAACTAGAATGCGCCGCCAATCGTTTGGGCCCCATTAGTCGCCGCTTGTATTGCCTTTGATTATTGCTGACTGAGCTCCCAGAGTATGTGATGGCTTTTTACTGCTAGAAGTGCTGCTTTCAACCTTTTTTTTTTTTTTTTTTTTGAGTAGCACATTAAAATAACACCGGCTCAAAAGACAAACCACTCTGTATCTTGTCACGCCAAAGCTGTGTGTCACATACAAAGACGGATGTGTTCGCGGATGTTTTTGAGAGGAGATTAAACCCAGATTTAAAGGCTTGTAATGCCTCAAATCAGCGGAATCTCCGAGCAGAGACCCACACCAACGTGCGCACACCTGCACAAATCCGCACGCATGCAGACTTGATGACAATCAAACACAGACACAAGTCGTGCCTCGGAGGGTAAATCCTGTTCTATAGCAGGCCAGTAACACAGGCTCAGAAGACAGACGTGACAGAGTCGACAGTGACAGTGATGATGATGGTGATTGTGGTAATAATGATTATGCTGATTATTGCGGGCCTGCCACAGCGATGTGGTGATTGCGCTGCGAGGAAGAAATAGAGGAAGACAAAGGGCGACAGTGACAAAAATGATGATGATGATGATGATGATTAAGATCCCCCCTTTTTTTTTTTTTCGTTTGGTGATCAACTGTGAGCTGTTCGCAGCAGTTGTTGATCTTTCTTTAATTGGCAGAGCAGCAGTGTGGGGAGTTAACTGAGGATATCTCTACTGCTTTTGAGGGCTTTGATTTCACATGACAAAAAGAAAAGGCACCGTTGAGAACATTCCAGCAACTCCCTTTGAAGGGAGTGATCTGGCAGTGCTCATTTGAATTATTAACTGGATGAGACAGACAGACATGGTGAAAAAAGGGAGCAAAAGAGCGAGAGACGGAAAAAACACATAGAGGAGAGACAGGGAGATGGATTCCCATCTTTAGCAGGCAATGCCGAACCGCTCAGCCTAAACCCCGTCAGATATCTGCGATGACTGATCTTTGCATCAAACAGTCGGGCCAAACATTCAGAGTGTCTAGTGGCTGTGAAGATGGCTGCCGGTGGAGGTGAACGTTTATTTGAATTAATGCAATTTTATTAGTCAGTTTCTTTCTCCGGAGTTAATGAAATACAAGAATGAATGTGTAATTACTGGTCAACCGTCCCCCTGCTGCCTGCCTGGAATTATTTAATCTGCAGAGGGAGTGTCCCAGAGCGAGTTAATTCTCCTCTGTGGTTGGGTTGTGTCTCCCACAGCAGGACCCTATTATTGCTGTCATTGTGGCCAGAACACCAAACGTAGAAAGTGAGACTGCAGGTAGTGTACCTGCAAAAAGACTAAGCCTGGCTGGAATTATGGTTCACCAAAGATGCGCATGAAAGTGGAAGATTTGCGCATTAAGCGAGCTGCTTGAGGAAAACACAGTACAACATTATAATTCCATGCTACAGACCGAGTCGCACAATTGTTTTGGAAAGACCTATTCACTTACCTCCAGCGTGAAGAAGCATGTCCAAGTTGACTCACAGCAACCTGTACAGCTGCATCAGTCTCATCCATACTTGTCGTCTTTTTTGTGGTATTTTTTCCCGTTGCCATTATTCTGGCTCTGGCACAGGAAGATAACATCCCTCTTCTTAATCCTGCCTACAGAGCTTAGATTGTCTTTGTTGTTGTTTTTTTTTTTTTTTCAGCCAGGGAAAAAAGCCATGAATGAGCACAACACCAGACCTACTTGCATCGCTTAAGAAGAAAAGAAAAGAACTGCGGCCAGTGATTCAGAGGTCTGAAACCAGAGTAAAAATATACCACCCAAAACACGAGAAATCGTCTTGTAAGGAGTGAGTTTGATCATTTGACTCGCTCACTCTTGATCACTCTACATCCGTGGCTTTAATTCCTCCAGGCGTTTCTCGACTCGAAAAAGATGGAAGGAGTTGTATATTGTGCAGATTCTAAAGCCTCTGGAGACAAATTTGTGATTTCGGCCTTTATAAATAAAACATGCCTTCACTCGACTTGATTGTATTAACAAGAATTACAAGCTCAGGAGTAACAACACCTTGTTGTACCCTGGAGAAGACCCACCAATCTCTGCTGAGACATCAAGGTTTTGAAACCGGGGTTGTGTTGGATGAGCTTCAAGATAGATTTTCTCGCACGTCTCCCCCGACTTGGGTCTCCATACCCAACTGACGCCCATGATGTAATGAATACATCTTGTGCATTCTCTTTGTCTGCTTCTTTTAAAGCGGTATCAAACAGAATTAATCAGAAAGATACATTAAAAGGAAGCTCTGAGTTGTTTTTCTTGTACAGTTTAGCGTGCTCTGCAGCACATGCTTGGCTGGATGCATGTTTACAGCTCAGTAGATGCAAGAGCGGATGAAGAAGGATGTCACGACTGGGCCTAAGAACAGCCTGGTTTTTTTTTTTTTTGGTGTGTGTGTTGTTTTAATACGTTTTCCCCTGCGCTTCACAGATGTATTTGCAATACATGCTGTACATTATGTGTCCTTGAGCGTGCGCACACATATACCGAGACGGAGGTGGGGCCGGCCACCGAGGGGGGTGTGTGTTTATGTGTGTGTTGTCAGGGTGGGGGGGCTGCAATTAAAAGGCAGCATGCAGCGTCCCACGAGGTGCTAATGCCCAGGATCAGCTGTTCTAATGTCATTCACATCCCCTCTGCTATTCAGCCGCCCCGTTTGATGTATGAATCCACCGGGGACTTCATCAGTATCCCCCCTCCACTACCACCACCACCTCATCCTCCCACCCCAATGCTACCACCACCACCTCCCTTTATACCCCCACCCTAACCTACCCAACCCCCGGTCGGCTCTACAACCCCTCCTCCTCTTCCTCCTCCTCCTCCTCCTTACCACCACCACCTCCCTTTATACCCCCACCCTAACCTACCCAACCCCCGGTCGGCTCTACAACCCCTCCTCCTCTTCCTCCTCCTCCTCCTCCTCCTCCTCCTCAGCTTGCACAGAACCTCCCCTTCTGTGTCTGAATGCTTATGTTGGCTTTTATCGCGCACAAAGTAAACAGAGTCGCGCCAGGGATAGTGAGAGAGAGAGAGAGAGAGAGAGAGAGAGAGAGAGAGAGAGCGAGAGAGCAATAGTGATAAAGGTGGAACATGCACATCGTCTGCACGCCGCTCGCCTCCGTGCTACATCTTCAATAGAGACACAAAAGCCTGCAAAAAAAAAAGAGGAATTTAAAAAGGCAAGAGGAGGCAGAGGAAAGGAAGTGATCCGAAGAGAGAGAGAGAGAGAGAGAGAGAGAGAGGAAGAAAGAGAGTAGAGCGAAAGGATCTCCCTGCTAAATGCGCAAAGCGTCCCGTCACCCC